AAAAGAGATACTTTGCTTATCATTTATTTTAAATGATATTTTTAGCATGCAATAGAACTTATTTGAATATTTTTATTGTTAAGCTTCTGTTTATTTTCTAAAAAGTTATATACCGAATTGCATATCTCCTTAAAAGCATCCAGAAAAATGCAAAATAACCTGAATGGTGGATTTTATATCTTATATATTGGTGGAAAGAAATTTGGACCTTTTCAATTTTTTTTGTTTTCATCAAGGAAATGGTCAAAATATGTGGGGAAAAAGAGGTTTTTCCAATTTAAAGCCATTGGAAATCAAAGCCAAAAAAATGAAAGTTTTAAATCCACTGTAAATTTCTCAAATTGATGTGTGGCTGAAGAAAGAATTAATTGAATTTTTTTTAAAGTGCAAGCATGTTTCCATTTGGAAGATAACAGATTGCTTCCCGTTAAAACTTCCAATCTAACGCTCTATGGGATCCAAAAGTCATTGAAAGTGAAACCAACAATTTTGGGGAGAAAAGCGGGCAAAAAGTAAAGTTTGAATTTTTTGTTGGATTTTTAAGTTTCATTTTATATAATACTTGTGGTAGTAAGTTATTGTTTGTAATATTGCTTGTTTGTTAGTGATGTGAAAAGATTAATTCTTTACATTAAAAATATATTGTCCAAACAGTAAAAAACGATATGGACCTGTGTCTTTTATATGAAAAAACAAAAGAAAATTACAAATTTATTAAAATTCATTGTGAAATGGAAAAAAAACAACTGTCATATAAATACTATTAAAAATATTGATAAAGTAGGGGTTAAAAATAAGTTTTTTATGAAATATTTATATGATTATTATATTTATATTGTATTGTACATTATTTGATTTACCTTTAATTTACTAGAACATTGAATGGAGTGTGAAAAAGAACAAGTTTTTCCCAAGAAACTTAGGTATGAAGATGAAGAAGATAAGAGAGTAAATTTATTCTCAAATGTCACAATCAGCAAATTCTCTCGAAATGGTTTCAATTCTGTTAAAAACCCTTCAGAAATTCTTCCAAAACCCGCCAGTAACCAGAAACATTCCGAAAATTTTCAAAACCTTCCAGAAGTTCAAATTCTTTGTAGAAATCATCCAGAAGTTAGCGGGAACAAGTTTGTGGAATCAAAACAAGATCGGCTGGAAGGTCTTGGAACCTTCTCCATCAAACAACAGTTAATATAATACTGTAGCGTCACCATGATACTCAAGTACAAAACACCATTAACACTCTGTCATTCTGCAAAAATGAAATAAAACTATCAGAAACAATCAAATGGATTTTCCACTGCAAGAGAGGAATTGGTAAGAAAATATTATTTCAAAAATAAATAAAAATAATTGATTTATTCTATTTAATATTTAAATTTTTGTTCGTTATTTGCAATCAATATTGGGTAGTCCTTGACCATATATTATGTTAAGTATCCTCTGGTTTGTAAGGCAATGCAAAGAAGCTAATTCAAAAACTCCTGGAATGTGCTTGTAAACCTCCAATCAAATAACTTTTCTGTATAATTAAGGGTCCAGATGTTTGTGAACTAAAAATTT